TTAATAATACTGTGACTTTGTCCCATAAAGTAATTAGTAATCAATCCCAAGAAAGGCTGGAGGTAGTTTACTTCCAGCAGAAATTCTTAAGTACCAGAAAGCTTAAAAAACACATTTCACACATCAAGCGTTACATACATGCATCTGAATTCATGACAGAAAGAAGTCATTGCACTTCACTATCAGTTGCAACCCAGCCTCACTGCCTGGGCTCACAAATGCTACCAAATTGCTCAAGAAACAGTTTAGAGGCCAGCTAAGTCAAAATAAGACACTGAATGTAAAATTGATGTACAAGTGTTCATCAAAGAAAGAATGTCAAAAGCCTAAAATGATTACATACTTGCAAACTAGTACATTGGGGAACCACAATTTTTGTAAAAGCAGACATTAACATAACATGAAAAAAATCCCTCAGAAAACTAGCTTTAAAATCTATAAAGAACTATTTTTTTACACAGATAGATAACAAAAAAAACCCACCAAATCTCAAATTCCACTGGATTGGAAACACCTAGAATATTTGTAAAGTGAATATTAATATAATTCGGTAACCTTTACGTAAAGCCGAGATTTAGGGAATAAGCAGAGTAATAATTAGTCTTTTCCTAATAATTGAAGTGAAATGTGTAAAAATTACTATAGTGGTAGAAGTAGTCAACTGAAAGATTTGTTTCACATAAAAGGCCCCTTGCAAACATGGTTCATGGGAACTAGCCTTTTTCCTGCACTTGAGGAGGAAAGAAAGAAACTACTCAGAACTGCTATACAAATAGAATTCTCCTGAGAAAAGCCGAAAGATTTCGTCCCAGCATGTGGCCATTATGAACGCTGCCTGTAAAGTATCTCTTTTGCTATATCATATTAAAATATTGCCAGCTGGTTTGGAAAAGATGTTTTTTAAATACTGTGAGATGGTAGGTTCCTAGGTGTTACTGCCACAGAGCGATACTTTGCTCGTATATATATCAGCATAAGTGGTTGCTCTTGGAGAAATGCCCGTGACAAACAGTGCCCGCGGAGCACTCTGACACTGGACTCTGTGTCAAGTGGGATGCATCCAGGCCCTCATTTCCATTGAAATCAGTGGCTAAATACCTCTGTGAATATGGTGTTTATGGTCAATATCACTGACTGGAACAATCATCAGTAATTAAGCTGTCTCAGAATGGCCATGTGTTCTGGCACCCTGCACACTACAGGCCATAGACATGCTGGGCATCAAATGTTTCAAGTCTAGCATTTGTGCTTGGACAGGAATTTTTGTTTTAGAACAGCATCTTGATTTAAATTGTCACTACTTTACCCTTCACACATTGTCCGTTAACTATAGAAAAATGACAATCTGAATACATCCTTTGTACTTTGGTCAGATGTTTAAACCCCTCTATTTTGAAGTTGTTACTTGGCTTTCTGTAAGCTGTATTCAGATCACCCCTGAACTATGTCTCTTGTAGTCTGAATAAATGAACTAGAATCTGTTGTTACATTATGCTGTAGGCTCAACTCTTTGTAAGTAGCCTAAAGGTAAAAAATATTTTACACATATCCTTAGAAATTACATATTTTGGCAAATATTTGACACACAGGACATTTTGGAAAATGATGCCTATTTGGAGCACTGTGTGCCAAATTTTCAAACGATCATATTTGCAAACTACGGGCTTTGGGGTTTCTTGAGCAAGCCCTGCACCACTGCTAGTGCGTGTCTAATCCAGGGACAGCAAGTGATCTATGCAAAAACCTAACTGTTCCTAGTGGATAGTCTGCATGTGTGACAAGATTTATCTCCCTGCTTTTCAGTTTAGTGGTGATGCCTTAGAGTTTGCACGCGGCAGTTTTTATAAAGAAATCCATAAAGCACAGACAGCTTATGGAAAATTTTGTATTTATTCAGTGCTTTGCATGCACACTCATGCCCTTTGCGATGCTGCTTTTACAAAATAGAGAGGTCTATAAATAGAAAAGAAAATGCACATAATCTACAGGAATCTTTTTTTTTAAGACACTCTTCATTTTGTTAGCATAATGACTATCTATTTCACTTCTTTTTTCAAGTTCTTTCTCACTGAGCATCCTGTATTTCCTCATCTAGCACAGACCCCTCTTAGTGGGAAAATAAAATAACTCCTTTGACTCCAGTTATTAGCAAGGCTCCAGTACCACAATTACACACAGATGTATTTGTAGCTATGCATAAGGATTTGCAGAAAGATTAATCTCTTACAGACGGCAAAATGCAGTCACTCTGCTTTTTGCCATATCATTATCTTAAAGGGGGATAACTAAAATTAGTTCAAAGTTCAGATTTAAATAACGTTTTGATTAACTATGGACTGTTAATTATAGCCATATTTTGAAATTTCTCTCATTAGTCTTGTATTCCATAAGCAAATTAGTAGACTGCTTTACTGTTAATAATTCTAAATAGAAATAATTTTCATACTCTGTACACCGGATGTGTCAAACTGTACAAGTCTTGTGTTTTTTTATTACACTTTCTGAACTATTCCATCTTTAAGGCTTAATGTAATTATGCACCTTCTTTCAGAATAAAAAGCAAGCTATTTTGAACTCTGCTGAGGGCAAATACAACTCTTTAGCAGCCCTGAACAATAACAGGATAAGATAAAATGTTAAAGCACACATAGCTTGCTGAAGAAAATAATTTTCTAAAATGGTGAAGGAGGTAGCGTGAACTATAACACAAAATATCAAAAGATCAAGCGTTACAGTCAAAGTGCAGAAATTCTGTGTTAGCTCTCCAGACCAATGTGATTGTTACAGATGTTTTCATTATTCTTCTTCTTGGAAGTATTTCAAACTATTTCAGTTTTAGCTATTGCATGTAATAATCCTGGTAGGAAAAATCTTTCTTCAACTGATTTTTTTTAAAAAGTGTTTGATTCAACAACTTTAATATCACAGCAGACCCATGCCAATGCTTCCCTAGCTAGACTGTGTCTATGGCAGACCCATCTTGCAGGTACACTCTGTGTTCACGCTGCCTACAAATCGTATGGCAATGAATGAACTGTGGAGAAAACCCCAAGTGCTTATGTCCCCTAAGGGTGATTCAGTTGCACTGCCCATTAGTGGAAAAGAGAAGGTAGGTGAGAACAGCCTGGTCTCTCTTCTGGCCCATTTCTTCAACTTGGTGGCTGAAAACACAGAATGAGCCTCAGAAGAAAAGGACTGTAGCAGTAATGGTGTCCTGCTGAGACGTATGAAGTTCTCATCTCTTCTTCTATTATGTATCAGTGGTAACCAGTCAAAATATAATAGAAGTTAAAACGTCGAACTCTTTATGATCAGGACCTGTCCCAGCTGTGGGTGGAGGAAGCCTTTAGGTCTTGTCTCTTAGTGAATGGGTATGAGAGACTATCCCATGGAGGAAGGTGTCTTCAAAACCTGGTTTCTTGATTCATGGAAAATTCAAAAAAAACCCTAAAGAAATGCCTCCTCCAGATCCATTTTTTCTGGAAATACCGTGAGGTATCAGGATATATGGAGCAGGTTTCAAGGCAGGTCTGTCAAGGCAGTTTATCTTTCTGACCCTGTCTTGCAGGCCACCTAGAACCCCAACACGCAACTTAACAGGAATTGTGGCCCTATTCAATGGGAGCCTTGTTCAAAAATCATTCCTTGAGACCTCACCAATTGCAGTAATCTTTCCTGTCACAGGATCTTCACCTCACTGTAGTTTATAAATAGTTAAACACCTGTAATGATCTGGGAAATTTTTCCATCTGCCACCTATAAATTGCTTAGCATTGACAACTCATTATACGAAACAGACAGATCAAAAATCAAGAATCCCCACACTTCCAATGTTTGCTTTCTTTGTGGCTTTTTAATTACGTTTAGAATGCAGTTCCAAGGGCAAATAAGGGACCATAAACAATAATATTCATTAAACCGTGACAATCTTGGATTTAAATGGAAGCAACCCCTTAGGCAACAAAATAAACCAACACCACCAAATCACATCAAAGAAAAGTGCCTGCTAGTTACAAGACCACAAGGTAGGAAGGTGAATCCCTTGACAAAAGATATATAAAACTAAACAGCAAGGAGTTAATTTGGCAAAAGGGACTTAAAGACAAAAGCAATCAGCTTTTTGCAGGAGTGAGAGGGAGAGTTAAAGGTGCAAAAATGAATGCACGGAGATACAAAGCGTCTACTCTCCATAACTGAGTGTGACAGAATTTCAAAGACCTCTTGGTGAGGAGAAGAGGCCAGAGCATGTTGCCCACATTTTTTAAAATCTAGTGTAGATATGTGCATTGTCTCTTGTACTGTCAATCTACAGACAAGGATATTTGGATTAGAAACCATTTATAGGCTCTATATTTGTTTATGATTCAGTTTTACTTATTCCTGGAGGCTTAACTAGTACAAAATTTCTGGAGGTTTAATGTTGTCATTTAACCTGGCTGGCAACTAAGCACCACACAGCCTCTTGCTCACTCCCCCCTCCCTCAGTGGGATGGGGGAGAGAATCGGGGAAAAGAAAAAAAAGTAAGACCCGTGGGTTGAGATGGAGACAGTTTAATAAGAGAGAAGAATAACAATAGAGATAATAATAATGGTAAGAGAATATACAGAATATATATAAAACAAGTGATGCACAATGCAATTGCTCACCACCCGCTGACCGATGCCCAGCCCGCCCTGAGCTGCGATCAC